ATGGAAAAGCTTTCACACGAATAGATAAATACTAGAAATATCACCGAGTATTTTAAAAAGTGTTCATATATTTTTATACCGATTGCCAACAACAATGTGTTTATTGCGTATCAGAAACACGTAAAAATGCTGATGTTGCTCTTTTCACATACACGCAAAACCATTTTTTATAGCTTTATCGTTTTATTTCGTTTTATGCGTTTGGTATAATGCCAAAATATAAACACATAAATTTATTATCTAATATCTATACAGCACTTACGAGACGGTGGAGCGAGGTGATAAAAAGATATTATGAACATTATTAAAATTCGAGCCGTAATTTAAATGTAATTAAATATGTGAGCAGGATTTTTAAAATTTTATAATTCATAAAAAGCATTAATCGTACTTTATCCATTTATTGTTCCAAAATAAGTAAAAGTATAAAATATAAAATTAACAAAACGGAATATGACTATTACAAAAGTTATCTATCTATTATCCATTATCTATTTCAACATTGTATGTATATTTTGGTAGATTACAATAACATAAAGCAAACTTTGGTAAATGTAATAGATTTCAGTAGTTCCTAGCTAATATAATCAAGCTTATATTCATATTGGAAGAAACTATGCATCCGACTAAGGAATTAATATTGAACTAAGGAATTTGTTTGATAATTAACTGTATGCAAGTTCAAAAGCCACCTATTTAATATCCTGGTAACGCGGAAAACACACAAACTCATGCTAATGATATTTGCATGTACAAATATAATTATATCATTATATATTATTAATTCAACAATTAGTAAACCTGAAAATGGTATCAAATCGTATTTTGGATAGAGTATGTTTATGCAAAACCGCTAATTAGCTTCTAAATAAGTAGATACTACATTAAATTATAATAAGAGCACGAAGAAAGTACATGGGCTAATTAATTACGAAGAAACGTTCTGGGTGATTTTGCCAAAAATTAATTAGCAAGATTATGAATTGATTATTGTTTAAACGGTTTGTAAATTTTCAACATCGGTGGAGGATTTTTTGGTAAATCCCTAGAGAAAAACGGAGCTTTGCACTGTTATCAAGGTATTTCAATCATTTAAATCTATACCAGGTAATTCCAAATAACATAAAACGTTGAGAAAAAATAAAATGAGTGAGTCAGATTTTCTGGAAAAGCATCTTTCAATATTTACACCTATTGAAAGCATTATAAGAAAAATTAATATTGTGGGTATCATGGTAATTAACTGTACCTAAATTATCCAGTAAAAAATATGACCTAAACATGAAGGTTTTTAATTCTCAATCTGTTACAATAGATTCAATTACAAAAGAAAGCAGCATATTTTGAGCAACAAAAGAGTGTCTTACATGATTTATCTCAATTATTTTCTCTTTATGTTGTAAAACAATAATTACTAAAGCTGGTACTTCGATGAATACGGCTTTGGCTAGAGTCATTAGCAGGTTCTCGTTAATTTAATCTTATAATACTCATTAAAATTCAATTCGAATTCGGTCTAATGAACATCCGAACTAAAATGTGGTTGCAGTAATAGTGTGATACGTATTATGACATTATAATAGCTTGCAAACTTTAGTGCAATCCATCTTTGGAAGTTGATGATGGGAGTAAATCAAATTTGTATATGGGAATAATTAAAGATTTACGAGGCATTAAGAAGGAATAAAATAGAACTAGGTCAAAACATTGAATTAAAAAAATATACTTATGGGAGACTAAAAAAATTAAATATCTGGCAGCTCGTATAAAAAACATTGCTTATATATTTATTATGATTTGAATTGATTACAGCTAATCAATTCAAAAGGTTTAATTACAAATTTGCTGAAGGTAGGGCCATACCACAACCCTAAAACGTAGAATCAAATAATTAGAAACAATTATAATTCTTTTAGGGAGAATGCGTTTAGATCAGAAAAATAAAATATTGAATAATGACCTATCCAAAAAATCTTGAACAATATATGTATATTTATTTATTTATTTATATTTATATTTACGGATACAGGCATAAATTTAATAATTACAGAAAATAAATTATCCTAATTGAATTAAGTATAGTAAAATACAACTATTAAACAATATTACGCCTAACATTAGTAATATCTATATATATAAATATATATTATAAATTTATATGTATTCATATACATTTATTTACAAACATATATTTCACAATATATTATATAAGCATATAAATATAAAAAAACTTTGGACCAGAGGAAATTGAATTTTCACCGGTTTCTACGAGGGCTATACGAGTCTTTAAATTGCATGGGGATTGAAATTGGTATAATAAATTTTATTTGTTTTTAATTTACTTGTGATATGTATCATTCATGCATATATGTACCCTCCCATCTTTGGGGGTCGAGAAGATGGAATTTCTGAGAAAATATATTTTATGCATTATTGTGGAGACGATAACATTGGAATACATTATTGTAAGAATGACATCAATATGACATATTTTAGATTTACCATAGATATTATACTGTGATTTTGAATTAGAAAATAAAGGGTATGTATTGCCTATATGTTATTAGTATTTGAAGTAATTACTAAATAATCCTTTGATTTTCTGAAAATAAAAAATAATTGATGTTACATCTATATATCAGCATTCCATAACTCATCTTCATCGGTACTGATACAACACCTCCGCCAAAAATTCATCAACAGTTCTTCTATACAATAAATTACCTTGATATCTAAAGGAAATTCAATTTTAAGTAAAATTAATGCGTTTGCAAAATATATTGGATTAATGCAAAAAAGGTTTGATTGATTGGAGCTACTCAGCACGCTTTTTATAAATCGTCGATCTATCACGTTCACCAATTGATAGCGTTACACATCGATTACACTGAACAAGCAACTGAAAATACTGAAAAGAGAGCCCTTGGAATTTTTCGTTTAGAGCAAAAACTAAACGAACGCTTTTTACTAGAAAGGATTTCAACAAGAATAACGATGATTGATTGATAAATTGAGGTAAATAATGATTTTTCAGGTTTTTTATTAGATGACCTTGGAATAGAATCATTATGTGCAAAGGTAGTTAGGAGCAAGAGCAAGTCCAACTACAAAATTCTATACCTATATCAGTTTATATACTTTCATTGTATTAGAAAATCTCTAACAAAAATCCATTTACTTTTGAACATGACCTATTGTTAAACATTTTATTACTCCCTTTCTACGTTATTTTCATATATCCGATATTAATGACCACTTCACATAATGATCATCTATTATACTCCACCGCAACTTCTTGGCGGAGATTATAGAGAATGTAACTTCGAATAAATGTAATTAATTAATTAAAACTAAGCGTGTTATAACGCTAATGGTCAAAATATATCAAAACTTATATTTCTGGAAAACGCGCCAGCGCAGGAAATGGAAATGTATTAACCTGGAAATTAAAGTTACGCCACCATGAGAGAAAAGTGCTGTTGGTATCAGACAGGGATTATAGTTCTCAGAACTATTCTGTGGAATGTAGAAAAAGTTGGCTTGTTTTGCTTTTTTATTAAACATGGTTTAGTTTGTAAACAATTTTGCTTAGTATAATCATGGTAATGGATAGAAAAATAATCCAATTGGATGTTTTAAAAAGTCAGTATGTAAACTCTAGGAAGACCCAAAAATATTATTGATCATAAAAATATTATTGAAGTTGACATATTATTGTCTCTACGCTCTCATGCTGCTTATAAATTTGTTTCTTTAAAATAGGTACCGATTATATTTTAATATTATAATAAAAGTATAATTTTAAGTCAAATAAAAAAAAACTAGTAGTTTATGGCATCGTACCTTTAGGCAAATTGCTGGAGCTTTCCGTACCATGACGAAATATTCGAAAAATATTAAATATTTTCAAATAGATCATTATAAATACTGTAACATTGTCTAATATTAATAAGAATTATATAAACTGAATTGCAAAATTATAATTATGTATTTAAAATAAATGAGTGAGCTCCAGAACTTTAGCTAGAATTAATATTAAAATCCAAAATGTTTTCAAGATACAAATAGCAATTTTCCAAAAGCAATAGTTTCGTCAACACAAGCAAAAAGTTTTTTGAATCATTCCAATCGGATGCCCGGTTCTCACAAAAACCGATTTTTGCACTCTTTGCTTCATATCTCGGAAACGGCCGAACCGACCTTTCCTAAAAACTAATCAGAACTAAACCCCTAAATCTTAAAGTAGGAATCGATTGCTTTTTTAATCATACAAATCGGTTGAGCTGTACTTTCGAAAACGACGACAAAATTGTATCCGCACATACATACACACATATCAATTTCTTCTAAGGTATGCCAAAGTGTACAGAAAACTTTGTAACGTGAAGATATTCAAAAATTTTGATTATCGATTTTTGGCCCATTACTATAACTTACCCTATAGGAAGTTAAAAAAACAATAAAATGTGATAAACCGAAAATTGCGTAATTATAATCCTCTTCGAAAATGCGATTGTAATGATTATTTACCAAAAGTATTGACTGATGAATAAGACGAGAAGCAGCACAATCAGAAGCACAATAGCTAATTGAAGTTAAAAATTTATATAAATTATTATATAATTTTAATGCAAATGGTGCTTTATAAATGTTTTAATAGCAAATATGAAATAAAAGATTTGATATTTATTCAAAGCATTTATTTACTTGCCGAAAAATCAAATAAAACGCGTTTTTCACGATAAATGTTCCAAAGGGTATGCTAAAAGATACATGACCCATAGGAATGCTTCGACAAACATCACGAGTTAACTTTAAAAGGAAGTTCCAAAGCTGGCTTAGATTTTATGGTGATTGAATTTCGCATACTGTACGCAAACCACATGCAGAAAATGTGAACGAAATGAAAACATCAGGAAAAAAACAGAATAACTTCGTTACTACGAACATCAAAAATATCAAGGAAGCGTATCTAAACATTGTAAAATGGCAAAACTCACCTGAAATACGAGAGCAGGGCTAAGGATATGATGAGCGCTATCAACGATATGGAATAGCCCGTTTCGTATGTTAGGTTTACGCTCTGGCGCCACTGAAAATCAATAAAAAGACATATTAATATTGTAAATTATTAGTTTCAGTATCAACTTATAATCTATTCGATTAAGTATAATTTTGAAACATTTTACAAAGTCAAGTGTTTACCACACACTCGAGCTATTTAATTTAATTCATTTAACTATCAACCTAATGGCTTTTACATTAATCAACTTGAGTACATGTTGATGTACTCCAAAAAAACTTATTATTGTTATTATTACAAACTATTGAGTTGTTTTTTCCAACATGCCAATGTAGTATACAATGTCTCTTTTCAGCGGACTATTGTAAATTCATTAAATTTACTGAATGTCGTTTACTGGACAGTTGTAAATAAAAGAGTTAATATAAAAAAAATTATTATTACTGATATTCTAGGAAATTTAGCAAATCAATGAATTACTACAAATTTCATTTTACTTACACTATTAATTGATAAATTGATAAAATTATTCATGTTATTTTCAAAACAAAAATGAATTATCTGAGATTTTTGGCATAATTTTTCCACACCCATATAAGATTTTTAATGATGTGTGTGGATTCCTCTGAAGTAATTTGTTTGAATATCGAATTATTAACGAGAATGCTTTTTCTAAATTTGTGATTTTTCAACTCAAGAGAAGCACAAAAATAACAAACAAAACTTATTATTTAAACTTTTAACAAAATTCTCTACATTTAAATTCATATTATCCATCAATTGATGACTTTAGGTTTCATTTCGTTTTTGCTCAGAGATAATTATAATAAAATATATAATATAAAAAATATAATCATTGAAAATTAGAAAAAAGTGATTATTTTATGTATGTCTAAACTGAATAATGTATGAAAAATACTAATTATCCAAATTAAATGTGGGTACACGAACAATTGTATTAATTTGTTTATTTTTATTCATGCAGATTTGTTCTGATAAGAATATTCGATACTTCAAAGCTCTAATTTATGCACCCCTATTTAAAAATATGAGAAAAACTAGTACACCATTATATTATTTAAAAAATCTTGTGAAAATTCATAAAACATTTACCACATGGTGATTATAAAAATAAAAACATGTAACTATAGTAGATGTCATTTATTTAAAAGAAGCAAGACATTGATTTGCGACTTTCTGCATTTCCATGAATAAGAAATAAGATATATAAAATTGTATATGAAAAACTCTAATGATATTGCAAATAGAAAACGTTAAAATGATGATGATGACAGATAGTGGTGGAAAAACTGTTTGTAAGGGATGTCGAAGATACAAAAATAACCTTATAAAATATTTTAGTGGATTAATGATTTAGATAGTATAAATGTGATAAAAATAACTGGAAAATTCACTTATAATATTTACAAAATTGAATTATGGAATTATTATCATATAAATAATTCACTTTTTATGTAATTTTATTAAAAAAAAGAGTTAGCGTTGGTAACTATTTAGTAACAAATGTTAAGCAACTTTCCAGATATTAACTCTAAAGATGAATTCAAGTCGAATTTAAAAGATAATGTGTATAATATAAATTGATGTTGATTATTATGCATTAGTACCATATACATATTAATTCAAATAAGTTATAATTTTATGGATCATACTAGTATAAAGGATGATAGTCGGTTAAAGATGGATAAAAATAAGCCAAGAATGCTATAAAAATTCGAATAAAATACGACCAAAATTTTAGAGATTTTCTATTACAGAATTATATTAATTATATTATATCTAGCTCAAAATTTAGTTATTCAGATTCCAACGATTTTTAAAACTATTATCATTTTACCCAACCTTTAGCAGTGCACAGCACTTTGACATGAGAGTGCACTTTTCTTGTGAAAATAATGCACGAACTATAAAGAAAATTCTCTGACGCTAAGCTTTTTCATAACATAATTATTTTACTCTATGACACGTCGGGTTGATATAATATAATATATAGCAATACCTGCAATCAGAATTTGCTATCTACAAAATGCTGTATAATTCAAAACTTCTTGAAAGACGAGAGAAATTAAATTATTTGAATAGAAATGAATGGCAGGAGACTTGAATAAAGATAGATTTAATTTGGCTAGTAAGAAAAAATATACTTCAATAGAACTTCAGTTACTCAACGCATCGAGCTGGTCTAATTGAGGAAAAACGTCAAAATTTACCACTACCATTGCTTTTTTAATAATAAATCGTATACAAAAGAATATATTTTCCTGACAATGGGTTCGGCATGAAAAATGAAATTTAATGTATATAATCAGAAAAGCGCATTAATAGCCTTGAAGATCTTTATGGCGAAAATTAAAAACGAGAAGTTTTTTTAATTATAATTAGGCTTCAGGCAGTGAAACTTAATGAAACACATTTAGCCAATATAAAGTTTTAAAGATGTTTTAGACTTCTAAATTTATTATTTATATAATAATTAAAGTTATTATTATTCAAAATCTAGATAAAATATAAATAACTTGATGATTCGATATGCAAACTAAATTAATGTTAATGGATGAACTTGCAAAATGATGGAAAGCTTGATTTAATATTCCAGTAATTATGGTTATTTGGGCACCAAAATAATATTGATTCAATATTTGATCTATATATTATTAATATGTTCATAAATTTATGTAGTGTTATAACTATTTTAAGTGTGCATGGACGACATATCTAAAACGCTAATGGTTCATATAATTAACATCATAATATTTACTCATCAAATATGATATTCGATTAAAGCATATCAAAATTAATATGTTTAATAATAAAAGTAATTTATACGGTCATTGTTGTTATTGTGCTTATTTATCTGCTACGTTACTAAAAGATTGCATTGAATATAACCATAAAATTTACATAGAAACGAGCAAAGTATGTACCTACATGCCAAGGAAAAATGGCTTAACTCGGTTTCTTGCAAGATTTGTTAGAAATTAAAGCCATGTATAAAAATTCAAATAAAACAGAAGTGAATTCATAACATATCCATGTTTTGCTGCAACAAAGATCAATTTTTATTACATTGAAAAAGGAAAATTATTAGGTTTACTTCCATATAAGTAGAAAATAAATGAGTCACAACAGTTTTTAGAATATTTTGCTAGTTTGCTGTTTAACGAAAAAACTGGTAATAATAATTAATAGGTAACCAAAAGTAAATATATATGTTACTGTTGCAATTTTTTAACGGTGATCAGGCTTTATACATTCTAAACTAGTGATTTTTCAAAAGGGCAATCCAGGGGTCAACCACCTTTCTTGTTGTGTGTCAACTAAATATAAATAATAGATATTTATTGCAGCAATACCTACTAAAGGCCTATATTCTTAAGGGGCGTCCATTAATCACGTGATTGATTTTTCAGGAATATTTGGACTCTCCTCCTCCTTGGTCGTTATATTTGAAATTAGCCCCATCTCCCACCAAACATCATGTGTATTACGTAAAATTTTTCGAAGAAATTTTTCGAATCTACGAAAAAATTATATTTTTTTAGAAAATGTTTGGTAAAAAATATATACACGATATTTTACTAGACTCCTCCTTTCCCCCAGGAGATGGTTTGTGATTTTTTGTCAACACCCCTCCTCCTAAAAGCCTCACGTGATTAATGGACGACCCCTTAAGTGAAAATTTAATATCATACTGCTTGATATTAGTGCACATTTTAGGTAAAAAAAATTAATATATAAGTAATTTGATATTGCATCTTATATTATAATTAATGTGATATGTAACCCAGCAATGAGTGCTTATTATTCTTCTAGAATCAAACCTCGTTTGTAATAATAAATCGAGCTGATGGAACAAAACATCGTAAAGCCGCAACATTGATTGCCACGGTACGTAGTTAATTCATCAAATAACAAAAACAATTTCCAGTGTACAAACACTATTCACCAGTTTCGCGATGTTTTGGTTAAGTCGAAACAGTTGTTAACTTATCCAATCTAACAATCGGACATGGATCTAGTCTGTGGTAGTAGTATTCTAGTATCGTACTGAATAATTATTATCAAAGCAAGTCGGTTCAGTGCTCACCTCTAAGTCGTCCAAGTTGACACATGTTGTATAATTAGACCAGGTGTGGTTGCTCAGGGGGTGTTTGAACCACGTCGCGTCTTCGTCACAAGTCTTGTAAGCCATTCCTGGAACAGACATGGTACAATCAGATTTTACATACAAGGTGAGGCAACACATATATTCTGAAGCCACAAATATTTCATTAAAATCTATACAATAGAATTTAAAATATAGCTATTGTAAATGATCTCTTTTAAGGGGCACAAGTAGCGTGAAATTTTCAAGAAATCGAATTTTCAATTTTTCCATATTTCGGTAGATTAAATTAAAATTAAATTAAAAAAAACCTTTAAAAATAACATACCAAACTTTTAAATCGATATCTTAAATAGTTTTTGAGTCACAGCCATTTCAAGAGTATATATGTAGTATATAGTATAACGATCATTTTATCTTTAAACGCGTTTTTCTTGAAACAGCATTTTCCAAAATTGCTGCAGTGATTATTCAAAAACAAATGATCCGACCACTATCAAATTTTTTTACATGTTCTATATATAGTTCTCCGTAAAATGAACTATCAATTTTTTGATCAGATCAAAAATCCAGTTTTGGCAGTCGAAAAACGACCACAATTTTGGGTAAAATTCGTCTTTTTTTAAAAAAACGCTATCATTTTGTCAATTTTTGATTTTTTTCTTTAACATTTTACAGTCAATCTTATCTAGTTTAACGAGAATTTTTTTTTAATTTCATTCACGTAGAAGGCCGGAATCACTGCAGCAGTGAATGGCCTTTTTTGTACCTCCGTTGGAGATCGACGATAATTTAAAAAATATTTAATTTTTTTCTTCAAAAATTTTACTATGTATTCTTAAAACACGTATAACAAATATACTCCTAAAATTTTAAAATGATTGATAAAATAGTTTTTCTAATATAAATTCCCAAAAATCACCTTTTTTAGGCGGTTACACTGGTTGTGCCCCTTACGAAGATTATTTGCTCCATAAATCTCAAGTTTATAAAATTTTATATAAAAACAAATAAAAATAGCTTTCATTACTGTTACAGCAAGTAATGAAGATAGAGAAGAATATTTAAATATATTAAAAAATAAGTTAGTTAAATATTCAAGATAAAAATTTCAGACAATTGCAAAAATATTTATAGTTTTGAATGATTTAATACTTCTATAATATTAAAAAAATATTAAAAAAATAACATTACTTTCTGCATAAATTCTTCTAAAACTGACAATCTTATAAAACCTCAAGATTATAATTCATTATATTTACTAAACAAATAAAAATAGCTTTTATTACTACTTCAGTAAGTAATGAGAAAAATAATAAAAAAAATAAATTAGTAAAAGATACTTGATAGTAATATTTGAAATTGCTAAAATTTATTATTTGACAAGTTGTATCAATTTACATGATTCGATCATTATTAAAATAAGGTCATGCAAATCTATTAATTTGGAACAGAATGAGTATTCAATAATGAAACATAGTATGTAACATTATACAATTTTAATTACATTTTCTACATTTTAAACGCATTTTATGTGCATATATCAATTTGCATTCGAATGTGATAAAAATGCAATTATACACGTGTGGAATTACCAAATTAGTAATATTGATACTACCTTGCTACAAATATTAAATTTAATTTTAGAAAATGAGTCTCTATGTCACTATTCAACAATGAATTTAAATTTATTAATGAAAATTAGATGTGATAACTACTTTGTACATCACACTGATGATAAATTGCATTCAAATCAGTGAAAAAATAAATCAGTAAATTAAATTAATATTTTTAAATCATTTTTAATAAATTCCTTATAAATTCTGAAAAATAATACAAGTCTCAAATATTTTTAATAATACATAAAAATGATTTTACTTTGAACTTGTTTATTATCTTCTAACTCCATTTTTAAATATTATTGTAAATATTATACATTGAATTGGATTACGCCTTTTTAATATTGGTAATGGGAACGATGAAAATTTATATTAAATTCTTTGAAAGTGTTCATATATAACAGAGAAAATATTATGTTTCCTGATATAGCAAATATTATATTTTCTAGTATAGCAAGCAAATAGATTATTTACAATATTTCTGGATATACTGCCAACACACCAGACGAAAGCTACTCAAAAATTAAAACCCATATATAACGGATAACGGATTCTGGTGCAAAATATATTTCTTTATTTTTCTATTTTATTATTTCGGTTTTCTCTAGGTAATAGAGAATTTTACACGAACATGCAACAAAAAAATTAAATTTTAGATAGAAAAATCTACTTGTTCATAATAATCTGTAAGGTAAAAATTAAATAAATATAATAGCAAAGGTATCCACACGCCATTGATTTTTTTTATGCTCACTATGCAGATTTTATTTATTCTTATCAATATATTTAAAAAAAAAATCTACGATGCTTGAATTTCGAATCAACATTGATTTTACAAAAATATAACATTCTATAAAACTAGAATAAAAATCAGACGTGGAACCAAAATAGTTTTTGATTCCCTCAGTCGACACATTTCGTTAGAATTTTCAATAAGTGTCCCAAACTTTTAATTCGCGTGAGTACCACGAATTCCATTTAATTTCAAAACTGCTCTCATCTGCCAAATACAAAAGATTTCAGTTTTCTAAACGCTTATTACTTTCTTAAATAACTAATAATAAATGTTCATTAAAACTTTAGTCCGATGTAACTGCAGGCGTTGGATAAACTTTTGTTTGATCGAAACGCTCGATCTTGAGGTGAACTATAACATTTAATTATTTCAACTCAAAGAAAGAAGCAAGTGTTATTACATAACTTGGGAAAGAATGTGAGAAACGCTCAAGAGATTGAAAATAATGGTCAAGGTTTTAATTTGCGATAGAGATAGCTTTAAACCACGTGCATTAGTAGAAAATTTATGAGAAATGTAAGAAATTGTGTATCTATTATAAAATGATTGAAATGGTATATCGAGATAGTTAAATTGGATTCTAAAAATGTGAATTTTATATCCTGGTAAACTCAAATGAATGCTTGAATAATTAATTTTGTTAACAACTGTCTCATACATCTGCTATAGAATCTATTTTCCAACCACACACTTCTTTCAGATTATTTTTATTTTGTATACTAATATTTTGTATATTTTAAAACGTAATATATAAAATGGCTTAACTTTTTCCTGAAACCTAATAAAATCTCTGAATGACCATATCAAACTGACCATATATAGTAGCTTAAAATATCTAAAAATAGTAAAAGTACTTTTTACATCAATTTAATTATTACATGTGTCCCATGTTTTAATAAACTATAAATAAATATTAAATTGTATTCCTGCTTTATATCACTGCACATTTTTGTGAATCGCATATTACGATCAATCAGATAGCTTTTAAAGCTTCATGAATAATTCAATTGAATCACGATACAAAGCTCATAAAGCTCATACAGAAAACAAACAATATAGGATAATCTACAAAATAATGATGCAAAAATGAAAAAGATGACATTAAATGCATTATTTTTGTAATATAGGATTATCCACCTACAATGATCATCTGATATAGATAAATCAAAATGAAGAGCAAGGTATTCAAATTAAGGATTAGGCAACAACTAATGTGCTTTTTCTATATATTTGATTAGAAATCAGAACAGTTCTATGAGTTGTCGTGATTAATATTTTCTTTAGCTACGTCACTTTTTAGAATGCAACCCAATGGTTGGCAGATCTTTATTTGATATATTATGTTCTCTAATATTAATGATTATTAGCAGCAATGCCGAAGAAAGGTAATTTTCACTTGGAAACATGTTACATTCGTATGATACACATATTTTCAAATGATTTATGCATAACAAATGATTGTTATTTTTTATATTAGTGAACTAGGGAATAAAAAATCTCGAACGTTAAGTCGTTAATAAAATTATATACATATTTTGCTAGGAAAATTATTATATTACATTTTGTCGCAATGATGTTTTTATTATATAATTTTAATAATGCCATAATTTATTTAGTGAAATTACATCTGCATATTCACATAAGCGCAATGCAGTAATTTCAAAATAAAGTTCACTTTGTATAATTTGTTAAACGGTATAATTTTGTTTCTGGGCTCAAATGATGAAAGTTCATTATTATAATTTGAAATAGGATATCGTTTACAACAATTTCTATGAAGTTCTCTATTTAGTGCAGAGTTAATACAATGCAGTATGCAAAAGCAAGCGGTTAAGCGGTTTGGAGTTAGGTGCAACTCACATCGAGTTCACAATTAGTTTTCAAGAAGTTGCCTAGACAGGTATTGTATAACGAAATCATGGCTGATGTCATCTGAAGCGATGAAATATTTGATAAAGTAGATTATCTTACTAGTAGAATATTATTTTCGCATTTAGTAATTCATTACATTAATATGGAGTGCTATATTAATGCAATGTTAAGTGCTTCGATCTGACTTGGACCACAAATCAGGCGCTGCTTGCAACCGGATATCAAAAGTGACATTCGTTTTTTAAGGGGAATTTCTCTACATATATATAAAAATAAGTCGGGTTTTCCTTCTTGACGATATAACTCCAGAACGCACGAACCGATTTCGATAATTTGCATTCGTTGGAATGGTCTTGGGCTCCGCAAGTTTGTAGCTAAGAAAATTAGTGGTGCATGGCATCGTGCCTCAATGCAAATTGCTGCAACTTCACGCACCGTAATTAAAATTTCGAGTAATAACATTAGTGAGAATTATCAGAATTATGCTTGGTTAAGTCAACGAGCAATTCTTGCCGAAAAGAATTTCACCATTCAATCAAAAATTGCTGGCGATTTGGTGACATACCAATAATTCCGACTGGTCTTCCGTTTGACTTCAAACGATTGTAATTTCCAGTTTGCCTTGCGTTCGCAATAACAAGTCGCAAGGCCAATCGCTTAGTGTTTGTGGGATAAATTTCAAATAAATTATCTTGAAAATCATTGTTTTTCACATGGGCAGTTATACGTTGCCTGTTCACGTGTTGGAAAACCATCCGCTTTGTTTGTGTTAACGTCAGACCAAAAAACAAAAAATGTGGTT